CTAAAACGAACCCGTTTAGAATTAACCGTAAATTGACCTATTTCGGGTCACTCCGTTAAAAACTCGTAATCTCTAAAAACTAACCTCACCACGGCGTTCTACACGTCAAAGTTAGCTAGCACGTCAATTTTCGTCCAATTTGGAGTAACTAGCTCCGTCGCCGAAATTGCCGAAATCGAGAAATCAGAACATAATCGGATTCCAAATTAAATTGGCTAACTTATGTCATATTTATATTTAATTAATATAATTATTTAATATATTAAATAATATAAATAGAACTTTAACAGAAACATAGTTTCTGCATAAGTTTTACTGCATAATTTTTTTTTATAACTTTAATATAATTAGTTTTTTTTTCTAATTTAATTCTTCTTAATTAATTCAATAACAATCCAACAACAACAATAACACCTAAATCAATTTCTCTAACCTCTATCGAAATCATTCAACACAACTCATAAACCCTAAAAATCAATTTTATCCCAAATCAAAATATACCAAATCAAACTCTAACTATAGGCATTGGAAAATCAAACCCCTTACCTTATATACTTGAAATGATTCTTGATGATTCAACCAACGCAAAACCCAAGCTCTATGTTCTTGTTCTTCTTCTCTTCTCCAAGACCCTCTAGCTCTCTCTAATGCCTCTAAGTGTGTTTTGTGAGTTATGACATAAAACAAGGGGTATTTGGTTTTGTTTAGTAGCAAGACATAATTCAAATTACCAACTAGCCCTTCTTAAAATATACTATTCATAACACTAAATAATATTATTAACCTAAATAATTAAAATAACTCCAAATAATTAAGTATCAGTCCGAATAATATTTTACCGAACTGAACGGAATGAAAACCGGACCGAACAAAATAATTACCGGTCCCTCAAAATAAATATCGGACCGAATAAAATAATTACCGGTCCCTCAAAATAAATACCGGACCGAATAAAATAATTACCAGTCCCTCAAAATAAATACCGGACCAAATAAAATAATTACCGGTCCCTCAAAATAAATACCGGACCGAATAAAATAATTACCGGTCCCTCAAAATAAATATCGGACCGAATAAAATAATTATCGGTCCCTCAAAATAAATACCGGACCGAATAATACGTCACCAAATATATTAACAGATATATCGGTTAGTATAAATATTCTCGTCGCAAAATAAACGTCAAACGGTAACTCGAAAGTATTAATATAATATTAAATAAAACGGGGCGTTACATCACGCGCCTTCCCCGCGTTCTCTACGTGTTCCTCACGTGAGGACTGTCATCAGGCAACTACCAGTGTCCTAAAGAACCAGTCTTACACCTTCCGAGGATCATGGGGCCGCTGAACCAGGATGAAGACCACGCGTTGGTCTTTCTTACGCCACGTAGACCTTGACAGTTACTTGTGTTGGGTCTGACAATCCAGCCCAATGCAATGTAACCGTTGGCCCAGCGTTGATGACACATTATAAATACCCTCTTCCACTAGAAGGTCATGCATTCTAAACTCTACACCTTCTTTTTATACGTGCTCTCTCTCTCTCTCTCTCTCTCTCTCTCTCTCTCTCTCTCTCTCTCTCTCTCTCTCTCTCTCTCTCTCTCTCTCTCTCTCTCTCTCTCTCTTACTCTGTTTCTCACTTTAGCATTGGAGTACCTTGCAGGTACACCCCCTCCTCTCTTCCAATACCGGTGAACATAGGAGGTCACGACGCGTGGCAGACTGCTGCTCTCTTTCTGATCCGGTAAGATCAGTGAGTAATAAATATGTTGCTATCTTGTGTAAGACAATAAACATATATACTAATAAACATATGCTTTTCATTTATTTCAGTAAGTTATACCTAAAGCGACAAATGACAATATTGTTATTTCAAATAGATTCGAATTCAGAACTTCAAAGTAGTATTTTGGATTTTTGGTGATTGTGTATGAGTATTTGGTGATTGCGTAAAAGATAGTCAGACCTTTGTTTTAAAATCTTATAAAGTTATGGTATCTGTTGGTGCAAAGGTAGAATAAATGATGAATAGAGAAATATTCTATTAAGAGAATGACGGCTACACACTACTACAAATTGCAATGATTGCTACCCTATTTATAAGCTAAAACTAGGGTTACTAGAATAAGATAAAAATACTAAAACACCCTCTAACAAACTTAGGGGCTAAGAAAATAGTACAACTAATTAAATATGAATTACTTCTAATACCATCCCTTAATTCATATTTCATCAAAACTTGTAACACCAATTCCATCCCTTAGTCTGAGAAACTGGTCAGTCTTGATAGCTTTCGTCAGAGCATCTGCCAACTGTTTCTGAGTGCTGCAGTGTACAACTTCTAGCACTCCACTATGAACTTGATGTCTCAGAAAATGATACTTGGTCTCAATATGCTTGCTTCTCCCATTCAACACTGGGTTTCTGGCAAGATTGATTGCAGACTTGTTGTCAATCATCAACTTCAGAGGTTTGTTTGTTTTAATCTTCAGATCCTGCAACAGATTCAGAATCCACACAACTTGGCATGCAGTAACAACACCTGCAATGTATTCAGCTTCACAGGTTGATAACGCCACAACATGTTGCTTCTTGGAGCACCAAGAAATGGGACCTCCCAGAAATTTGAACAAGTACCCAGAGGTACTTCTTCTGTCAACTCTGTCTCCACACCAATCAGAATCTGAATAACTCAGAAGTTCTGACTCATCCTTTCTTTCAGAAGGAAACAACACTCCATACTTCAGAGTTCCCTTGATAATGGGACCACTTAGGTTTACTCACAAACCTACTAACCATCCCAACAGAATAGTAAATATCAGGTCTGGTATTGCACAGATACCTCAGAGAACCAACCAACTGTTTGAAGGTTGTAGCGTCCACATCCTTTCCATCAGAGTCAGAATCCAGTTTCTGATTTATACCAGAAGGTGTGACAGCAATCTTACAATTCTTCAGTTCAAATCTCTTCAGAAGTTCTAATTCATACTTGAGCTGATGCAAAATGATACCTTTCTCAGAATATCTGAACTCCATCCCTAGAAAGTATGTCATTTTGCCTAGATCAGTCATTTCAAATTCATTCATCAGAACTTTCTTGAACTTGACTATCTCCTGTTCAAAACTTCCAGTCAATAGTATATCATCAACATATAAACATACCAGAGTCATATTGCCTATAGAAGTATGCTGAACATAGACACCGTACTCCATCTCACATTTCTGAAAGCCTTGCTTCTTGAAAAATGAATCAATCTTCTGATTCCAAGCTCTGGGCGCTTGTTTCAGTCCATATAGAGCTTTGTATAATTTGTACACCATCCTTTCCTGATTCTTTTTCACAAATCCAGAAGGTTGTGACACGTAAACTTATTCTTCTAATGGACCATTCAGAATGCAGATTTTACATCTAAATGCATCAGAGGCCAATTCCTGTTAGCAGCTATTGCAATCACCATTCTGATTGTTTCATGTCTTGCTACAGGTGCAAACACTTCAGAATAATCCAGCCCAGGTTTCTGTAGAAATCCTCTGGCTACCAACCTTGCTTTATGTTTTCCAATTGCACCATCTGGCTTTAACTTCTGCTTGAAAACCCATCTGACGCTGATGGCTTTCTTGTCTTTTGGAAGTTCTGTCAGCTTCCAAGTCTTGTTTCTCTCTATAGCATCAATTTCTTCTTTCATGGCCTTCAGCCAGAGCTTTTGCTTAAGAGCCTCTTCTGTACTTATGGGTTCAGAGTCTACTATCATGGCAGCGGAAGCGTGGTGGGCCCATAACTCACAGGTCCCTGGATCGAAACCAGGCTCTGATATCAATTGTTGGTGCAAAGGTAGAATAAATGATGAATAGAGAAATATTCTATTAAGAGAATGACGACTACACACTACTACAAATTGCAATGATTGCTACCCTATTTATAAGTTAAAACTAGGGTTACTAGAATAAGATAAAAATACTAAAATACCCTCTAACAAACTTAGGGACTAAGAAAATAGTACAACTAATTAAATATGAATTACTTCTAATAGTATCAAGAGGCCACTGATTGAAATAGAAAATTACTGATTGATTGAAATGTATAACTCACTTGGATAAAATGTCATATAACTCTAGATAATTAAATTGGATTGAATTCGATGATGTAATAAAAAAGTTATAAAAAAGACTATGACAATTAAAAAGGTCAAAGAAATTGATTTTCCAAACTTTTGATTTTGATTTGATGTGTTCATCTATCTCTATGAATTGATATTTAAAAAAAAATATATTAAGATTATGTTTGAACATTATAAAATGAATGGAGCAGAAACAAAATGAATACAATGAAATATAATCTAGCGGACCGAAATGAATATTCAATTTTATTATTTGAAAATTTTAAGAAAAAATATACAAATTATTCATTCATTTCATCCATAGGGAAAATTATTTTCTTTCTACTTTATCCGATTTTACATCATCCAAACAATAGATATAACACTACTCCATTCCATCCCATATAGCTAACTCCATCTTATTACATCAATTCAAAGACTTTAAAAGTATCTTTAATCTATGTTTTTAATAGTTAAATTTTTTATAGTTAACGATAATTATAAAGAATTTGTATTTGAATGGCTCTGACATGACATTTAATTCACTAACTTTTAGTTTCCGACAATTATATAACTAAAGTATGCTATATAATTTGGGTCCACAAAAAATTTGCAATGAATATTTTATGTATTTTATTTAAAATAATTAAATTAACGGTAACTTCAATAAAAAAATAATTATAATTAAAAAATATAAAATATAAATTTTAGTTTTTTATAAACAACTATCATTAAAGTAAAACAACTCAAATCAACTATAAATTTTTTAAATCCTACAAATCATTTTAGACCCACAAAAAATATTTTAGTTTACTCATTTAAAATACTCCCACTTGCGCACCTCAGCCTAAAACTTGATTAACATTTAAATTGAAACGGAACAAGTAAAAAATTGACGAAAATGGAGGGAAAGTCGATGAAATCGGAATCACCAACAGTGAGCGCGATTCTACTCACCAAAATCAAAGGTTCATCTTCTTCTTCTTTTTCATGAAAATCATATATCTAATTTTCCTAAACCTAAAAATTCAAACACATGCGATTTTCTAATTCAGAATTCACTCGAGGTTTACTGGTGAATCTCAGCAACGGACACTCACCGATCATTCTCCTCGATCGATTCAGAAATCACTGCATCCTTCCAGATTCCAACTGGTTCGTTCCTTTCTAATCCAAACTCTCTCGATCGCATTCTTCATCATTCGTCATTTGTGTTTAACTTCTCTGTTCTTCAATGCAGTGCCTGTAGTTCCAATTTACCGTGCGGCAAAGAAGTTCTCACACTTTGCAAGGAAACGCACGTTCACAGACTAGGTCACTCGCTCTGTATTTTATTTTCATGAATTTGTAAACTGAATTTGCTCACTGTTCTTCTGTATTACTGTTCTCTAGGTTTTGAGTTTTTGTTTTGTTGCTTTTAGATGTCATGTTGAGAGTTCTGCTGATTGTTCAGAAACTTTTGCAAGAAAACAAACATTGTTCCAAGAGAGATATTTATTACATGCATCCATCTGTGTTTTTGGGTGAGTCTTCATAATTTTGCAACATGGATCATATAGTTGATACTCGGATTCATTTTCAATAGGTGATGACCTCTGTAGCACCGACACCTCTAAAAAAATGCGTGTCAGTGTCCGTATGGACCGACACTTGTGATTATGATCAATTTATCCATTTTTCAAATAATTACTGGTGTAGATGTGTCAATATCGGTGTTGTGTCTGTGTTTCATAGGTAATGACTGTCGCAAATTATTCAGATGTCTTCTTATTATAACAAAATTTTGTAGAAATATATTAAGATTCTTCATTGTATTCAGAGGCTTAATTTATCATCATTTTTACATGAGCATGTTTAAAAGTTGGTTCCATGATTTCTATATTGTTGGTTCTTGAAAGATTTATTTGTAGAGTAAAAGTTTATTTCTTGGCAGATACTGACTTCCTTTTCATGTACTCTTTTATTTATTTTCATATTGCAGACCAATCAGTTGTGGACCGTGCTATTAATGATATATGTGTCCTTATGCAGTGCAGTCGCCATAACCTCAATGTGGTAGTTTTTTTTCCTTCACTTTATCAACTTGTTTCTGTTTTTCTTTTCTTTTGTTTCCCTTAATTTGGTGATTAAAAACTTGATATGATTTTTATGCTATGCTTCTCTTGCTGCATATTCATTTCAAATAGCAAGCTAACCGCGCATTTTCATTTTATTTTTTGTAGGTTTCTGCCGGGAATGGGTACTTAATGAGATCACACTCATTCATGGAAATGCACTTTTCTGTCAGAGTTCATTTTATATGAACAATCGTGATAGTTTTATTATTCACATGTGAAACTATTTTGTGCTGTGTGCATTTTTGTATAAAACAAATTATTGCCACTGATGCTTTGAATCCCTGCCCTGATGCATCTAAAAGTTATGAATTTCAAATGATAGTTTTATTCTTTTTTTTTTGGAATTCTGATATCTTCTGTTGGCTTCATAAATTTCATTGATATCATAATGATACCAGTGATAAAATACAATTTCATTATGATTCTTTCTACTCTGTGTTTGGAACATCGATGGGGCTGCCATATGTGGAATTCAGTCATCTAAATTTGTATCTCTGCTGCATTAACAGTTATTAATCACTACTTTCAAGGCTGATGATGTTGTTTCACTCCTTCTCAAATAAGACTAATAAGACTTATGGATCAAACTTGTTTCTGCTACAGGTTAGTTATGGGCTGGATAAGATTTGTCGAAGGAAAAAAGATATTTGACTGCATCAATTCTCCCAACGCGGTAAGAACTAAGAACTAACAATAATGTAGTAATTTGTTTTTACCTTTTAAATTACATGCAGATATTTAGCTTTTCTGCAGGCTTACCCTATTCCTGTTTATGTCGAAGAAATTAAAGGTATCATATTTTCTGGGTGAATACCCTGCATCTGTTTAGTTTCCTTATGATTATATTTTCTACATATCAACTTAAATAAAAAGTGGCAACAGCAGAGGGTAAACGCTTAACTCCTGTTTGTAGATATTGTAAGTGTTGCTGACTACATATTAGTTGTTGAGAAAGAATCAGGTAACTAAGTTCTTTAATTTTTAGTGAAAAAATGAGGAGAAATGTTAAGGTACTTTCGTATAACTTTTTTATTGAAAAGATAGTTGATGTTGAACTTGCAGTTTTCCAGAGATTAGCAAATGACCAGTTCTGCAACGCAAACCGTTGCATTGTCATTTCTGTAAGCAATTTTCCGAAAACCTTATTTAATTTCGCTTCAGTACTTCGTTTGTGTGAATTCTATCTTTGTACAGGGAAGAGGCTACCCAGATATTCCTACAAGAAGGTGTGAAAATGCTCTTCCACTTTCCTAAGATATCATGCTGTCAAGCCATATATCTGCTTTCCTTTTTGTAGTGTACAATATGAATGCGACTGGTTGTATGCACGGTTGCAAATGTACATAGTTGGTATTTTGTATCCTAACAGGTTTTTGCGGCTTCTGGTTGAGAATTTGCACATACCTGCTTATTGCTTGGTGGATTGTGATCCTTATGGCTTTGATATCTTAACCACTTATAAATTTGGCTCAATGGTTAGTATTTGCAAGTTTATTGGATCAGAAGTACTTCAACATGCATATAATTAACTACAGGACTCTCAACCTGAAATATATTGGATTCTTGAATGGATTGAATTTCTGTCTAAAGATCAAGTTTCTTTTTCATAGTCTGTTTGACTGATCCATTTTCCACTGTTCTTTTAGCAAATGGCTTATGACACGAAACATCTTCGTGTCCCAGAGATATACTGGCTTGGAGCTTTTCCTTCAGATTCTGAGAAATACTTTGTTCCAAAGCAGTGCCTCCTTCCTTTGACTGCTGAAGGTAACTAGGGATATTACTTGTAGTGCTTCTGATTTGCATAGTTACGGATTTTATCTGATCAATTTGGTGTCTTTGATATTCATATTAGATAAGAGAAAAATTGAAGCCATGTTGCTTAGATGCTACCTTCAAAGAGAGGTCCCACAATGGAGGTCTATTCATATACGTTCCACGATATATATGTTCTTTTCTTTTCCAACTGGTTCGTAATTTTATAGCCAATTTTAATGTTTTTTATGAAGGTTGGAGCTCAAAATGATGTTGGAGAAAGGAGTGAAGTTTGAGATTGAAGCTTTATCCGTGCACGCACTTTCATTCTTGACAGAGTCTTATATACCATCCAAAATTCATGGTCAAGTTAACATCTAGCGTATTCCTGAAATGGGGTTGCGCACAGGTTGCACATATTTCATTATGTTCCATTTATTCTGCTTTCTGAAAGATGGATGCACACCTCTAATTCAATTTAAATGTTCTATTGCATATTGATATACAACGGTTGTGAGTTTTCAGAGTTAATATCCTTTTGCAATGTGTAAATTACTTGTCAGTTATAGAATGGTTTCATTTGGTATTTTAGAGTAGCAGGGGCGTCAGTCTAGGATCTTAGATCAGTTTTTGTCTACCAATTAAAGATACTATATGCCATTGTTACCAAGGGTGTAAGATTGAGACTATGCTTAAAGCAAAAAGATATATAAAGATCTTTGAAATTATTATTCACTTGGTCTTCTTTCATTCACTCACCACATAAATGATAATGAGCATACAATACTAAGAAACATGAGGGAAAATGCGTAGATAAATTCAATTCCAAAGGTGCTATACTGCTATAAATAAATATAACCTGCAATGTAATGACAACTAATGAAAGGTGCTAAATTGCTAAAACAAGATAGACAATGAATACAAAAGAATGTTCAATAGTTTAATATATTTTGTGAATTTCTACCGCACTATGTGAAATTTTACACGTGCCTCATAATTTTAGAGATATGTCTTTGGACGCACTCAAAGTTTAGTGAACGTTAAAATATTTCGGAGATATCTCCGAAACAATTTAGAACATAAATTGCGCAAGGAAGTCTCGTGTCATTGGGATACAAGCAAGAAAGTCTCGAGCCAAGATGCTTGAGCCACACAAGTTCCTTGCTATGTGCTTGAGCAGAAATTTTGTATCATTAGGATACAAGTAAGGAAGTCTCGAGGCGAGATGCTTGAGCCACGTAAGTCTCTTTCTAAGAGCTTGAGCAGTGAAAGTCTTAATCAAGTAGATTCATTGAGCAGGAAAGTCTTGAGCCAGTGTGGCTTGAGCAGGATAGTTTGGTGCATGAAATTAGGAGCAGTAAGTCTTGGCCAGTGGGGTGCAAGTAGAGAAAGGCTTGTTTCATGTGACATGAAGCTGAAGTCTTTGGCCTGAGGGCTTGAGCAGGAATGCTCAGTGCATGGAATTTGGAGCAGTAAGTCTTGGCCAATAGGGTGCAAGCAGAGAGACTCGTTTCATGTGACTTAGAGCAAAATTCTTGGGTAAGGAGCCTGAGCAAGGAAGTCTTGGGTTTGTGGAACCTGAGAAAGAAGTCTCGAGTGAGGAGCTTGAGCAGAATTCTTGGACCTTGGGTCTGAGCAGGTGTACAAGTCTTATGCAGAATGCATAAGCGATTGTAATCATGTTTTGATTATAGTGAAAATCTCTTGTGAAGCAAGGGGACTAGACTACTCTTAGTTAGGGGAGGAACCAATATAAATTTTTGTGTCTTCTACTATTATTTATTTGCTTATGTTAACATTCCGTTGCTAAGAATTAACCAAAATCCGAACAACAATTTAGATTCTGAACTCTGATAAGATGCAAACTAAGAAAATGAAAAACACAATTCAAGCCTCTTTCTTATGTGCTGTTCTCACCTTCTTACATCACCAAATGGGTTAAATTTAATTCCTATAAGAATGTAACCAAACAAGTCGTCGCTTGCTTTATCAAAAAGGAAATCATTTGTCGTTATGAGATTCCTAACAGGATCCTCATAGATAATGGATCTAATCTCAATAACAAAATGATGAAAGAGTTGCTCGAAAAGTTCAAAATTGAACACCACAACACATCACCCTATCGGCCGAAGATGAATGGTGGAGTCGAAGCAGCCAATAAAAATATACAGAAGATCGTCCAGAAGATAGTGAGAACATACAAGGATTGACAGGAAATGCTACCATTTTCCCTACATGGTTATCGAACTTCAGTATGCACTTCAACTAGGACAACCCCTTCTCTTTCGTCTAAGGCATGCTTGTTGTACTCACTGTCGAAGTAGAGATTCCTTCGTTAAGGATTCTGATGGATACCAAGCTCGAGGAAGCATAATGGATCCAGACAGTACTTGATCAGCTCAATCTCATCGAGGAGAAGCGCTTAGCAGCCATCTGTCATGGTCAACTGTACCAAAAGCAACTCAAGAAAGCATGTGACAAGAAGATCTGACCTTGAGATTTCCACACAGGTGACCTGGTGGTAAGGAAGATCTTGTCAATCCACTCTGATTCTAGGGCAAATGAACTCCCAATTACAAGGGACCGTACATCGTGAAGAAATCCTTCTCAGGAGGTGCTCTAATCGTGACAAACATGGATGGGGAAGACGTTCCATTCCTAGTCAATTCAGACTCAGTAAAAGAATACTACGCATAAAAGTGACATGCTAAGTCGAAAACCCTAAGGGGCGACTTAGGAAACAATGGGCATCCCGATGGACCATAAAAAGAAAAGTTCTAGGCAAATGTTAGGGATATATACGAAAAACAAAGAACCCGCTAAGCTAAAAGCCCTACAAGGGGAAATTTAGGCAAAAATGGGTATCCAACTGGATTGAAAACCTGAAAGGGCGATCCAGAAAAAAATTAGGGATAAAGAGCAAGAGACTGCAGTCTGAGTACTCTTCACAAACAACAATATACACCCCAGACGTGGGACAGATCAATTCAACCACCACTCTTCAAAAGCAAAGCGTTGATATTACCAAGGATATATGAATTATAAAAATGTCAGTTTTTATGGAAATTCAAGCATCGCTCATTGCCATTATACACATTGTTTTTATCTTTCTTTATGCGACTGCCTCATTTAGGAGTTGCTTCCCTGTACAATCACTGTAGCGGGGAAAATTGATATTAAATTATTGATTAACTTAACTCATAAAGGAAGAGTCGCCACCACACTTTATTTTTTCCAAAGGGAATGGGAAAAGAGCGAATAAAACCCACATAAGTATTTTTTTAAAAACTAATAAAACAGAGAGACAAAGGATAAGGGGTTGGTAATGCAATGGGAAAGTGTTAGCACCTAAAACATCTAAAGTATTCTATAAGAACCTCTTGAAAATCTATGTTTGGCTTAAAACTGGTTGTTTATAAATGATTAAGGAGATGAGAAGAGAAATAGTTTTTAAGATTTTGGTGTTTGATAAGACTTCCTGAGTCTCGTGCCTAAGTACCCACAAAGTGGAATGGAGGATTAAAACCTCGTAGTTTGTGGTAAAAATAACAAAAGAGTTTGTTTTGATTGATTTTAAATGGAAAGACAAGTTGTCATTTTAAAGAGGAAACTCAACTAATCACCCACAAGTATGTGAAAATGGACTTTTGCATCATTGTTGAGAAGGGCACCAACTTGGATAGAAATCAACAAGTATGCCACTAACTCTCTCAACTAGAAAAGAATCAACATCAAACATTACTATAGGGATAGGAGAATCACATCTCAACTATGAAAATGACTCATATCTAATCCTTGAGAAAAGGTTTTTAAAGGAAAAATGCATACATGACACAAAATGATTTGAATGAGTTGTGTGTTTTTATGTCTTTTGAAATGGTCTTGATATGCTTAAGATGAATTAGCATTTATTTAAGAAAAAGAGTTTGAAAATCACTTGACAAATTCAATGTTTATTAAGAAAGTGGTTCAAGTTGGAAAACAAGAAGGTTTTGAAAAAGGGAGAAGATTTTGAAAATTTAAGAAGGGGGAGGAGATGGAGAGACTATCCTAAGAAAAGCAATAAAGTGCAAGTTTGTGCAAGTGGACTAAACAAAATATAGCTAGAACCTGACAAGAGTCAAGACCAAGATCCCATTCCTTTTGAGTAAGTCACAAGCAATAAGCAGATAAACACAAGATGATCCAGATAGATAAAGTCATAAAGAAGCAGATAAATCTAAACTTGATTCAAGGCCACATGTATTAGAGGAACTCAAAATCTTTGGCAAAACATGGTATCAGATGAACTTCCAAGTTTCCGATAACCAAACTCCAAGCATAGGAAAATCTAATTCTAAGTCCATAGGTCAAACTCTAAGTCAAGAAAAGGATAGTAGTCATAGTTTAAAAGAGATTAAAGTTTTTTAGGAATTTTTCCTTTATTAATGTCTTTAAAAGAAAACAAAAGTCCAAGTGGAAAAAAGAAAAATAAGTATAAACAATAAACAATATGAAATGGAAATGCTAAAAGTAAAGCATAATGTAAAGAGCAAAAAATTAAATGACATAAAAATAAAGGTGCTAGAGAAGTAAATGACATAAAATAAAATTTAGCGAAATAATATTGTTAGTATTGGTGTTAGAGTTAATAATCCAATTCGGGACAAATTTAGCGCTATGTTAAACAATCGTAGAATAATCTATTAGGAATATCATACTATGGAAGGTCGGTCAATAACAATTTATGTACCATACATGTTAGAGATATGATAGAAATCATACTCCTAAAATATGTAGCACAAGTAAAAACCAATGAGGGATTAAGCACTAAGGCACTGAGATTGGTCCATTACATCAATCATCCTTCATGATAACTTAGAACTAACTTATACATCAATCTAAAGTACCTCCAATGATCATTGATCAATTGAATGGTAGATTTGAAATGATGAAAGTTCATCAAGCATCAACTCAAACATCATGAACAAGATGGGCACCAAATCATCCAATTGATCAAGAGAAAAGAAAAAGAAAAAGAAATAGAAGAAGAAGGAAAGATGAAGAGAGAAACCAAATTGTATCAAGATTTAAGATACATTTATTATCAATTTCAATCACTTTTCTTGGTGGATTAAGACACTAAACCTATCATCAATCCGAAACACCAAAATGGAATTAATGATTCATTTAATGATATATTTGAATTGATGAAGATTTATCTAATCTCATTAACACCCAAAGTCCATTGAAATTGAGAAAATTTTGATCAAGAAACCATGATCCAAAATAACAACCAGCAACCAAGATAAAATGCAATATTAAACAATTAAAGATACATGAAAAATATTTTTAAAAAGATTTTTAAAATGGAAACAAAAGAGAAAATCAAGACGAAGCCT